GAAATGACTCACCAACATGGATATCCCTCAAGCTTCATCCTTCAAGCATTCCGTTAATATCCTTGAAGCAGGTTCATCCTTCAATCATCCATTCTAAAAGTAATCATACACACCTTAGAGCAGAAACCAAAATGGAAAAACACACCAACAAAACTTGACAGTACAAACCTTGGGAAAAGCCACCAAGTGAACAACATTATTGTTATACCCAAAAAGCAAAAAAAACTATGGCCCAACGTATCCATCAGGAGGACACAACTTAAGACACAACAACATCAATATACAGGAGGACAAGCACTACTAGCATATCGACATGAACTGCACATCATGAAAACCAACAAACTAAACCTTGACAGTACAACATTTTATATAATAAAACAAAGAGTAAAACCCAAAAGACCTGCACATCATGAAAACCAAAAAACTAAACCTTCAAGTTATATAATTTCACTAGTGCCTTCAGCTTAGTGTAGGTCTTGCATCCCAGGTAAAGGGGTTCAGAATCCCCTTGGACATGGTTCATGAAATCAGAGTATTCAAAAGACCTGTCCTCACCATCTTCTTTGCTGTTTTCTTCTGTTCCATCGTCAAATGAGTCATGAACACGTTTATTGTGTGGGTGAGGGGGTTCATCATCTGGATTTAGCTCTCCGTGCCATATCCAACATGTATATGATTTATCAATACCATGTTGGAAAAGATGTGCCCTAACTGTTTGTGTGTTCCAGGATTTTGTGTGAACACACTTTAGACATGGACAACTAATTTTTTGACCCTCAAATCTGTTTTCACTTGCAGACCTTAACAATTCATCCACTCCTAGTTCATACTCTCTGCTTCTTCTATCGGATTTCATCCACGATTTATCCATACGTAATTGAGATAAGACTGCTGACTTTCCAGACTCATGTCATGAAGGGTTGCTAGCAGAGTATTACTCCATCGCCGAAAATACCGCAGTGATGAAGAAACAGCTAGACCTCAACTGTGGCTGAAATTACTTGCCGCCGGCCATTTCTGAACATAAGAGCTCGATTTCACCCTTGGCTTAATAATTTCATCCCAGCGCGATCCCAATTTGGGTTTCCACCGTACACGCTATACCGCAGGTCCCAAGGAAACTGGAAAAGGAGATTGACTTCACCTTTTTTTTTCACTGCTAGACTTCACCTAATTTTTTTGATGGGATCAAAAGTACAAATCTCTACCAAATTTGACTAAATGTACACTAAAAAAACAAATGTTAGATTCACAAATATAATGACTTATAAACTTCTATTAATTATATATAAATAAATTATACACAAAAAGTCATATACAAAAAAAAATTATGCAAAAAGTTTTGACTACCAAAAAACTTAATACTAAGTATTTCATTAAAAATTCATAGTGTTAAACATAATTTACTTATTTTAAACAAATTCTATACGTTGATCTGTTAATTTGAAAATTTTGCATTTTCAACCGTTTTTCTTTAAATGTCACCAAAATATAACTCATACTTAGATGAATAAGGGAGATAATACTATACCCGACCCGACTTTAAAAAAAATTCAGGTCGTATTTGGATAATTTTATTTTCGGTTTTGGTTAGATCATTCAAGTAGTCGGTCGGGTCGGTTAAACTCGGGTTCGGGTTGAATTGTCATCCCTAATAAGCCAAAATAAGGGAATACCTTGAAACATTTTTTTAAATAATACATAAATCCCAAGACGTATAATAACATACCAAAAGAAACATCTTAATCTAATAACATTTTGTTCCAAACTTTCCTCCAAAAACAAAACATATAATAACATACCAAAAATAACATTTTGGTTTTAATAGGCCACCCAAAAAACCATACAAAAACATCCCATTACAAACACCCCTCCACCATTTTAAGTAATTTGGAATGCAGGCAGTCTTCATTGGTTTACACCTTCTTCTTTTATGTGTACTGCAGCAACCACTCACTTTCTGCTTTTTCCTTTTGTACATCCTGCTGCAGCCATGGCCACATTACTCCTTGTACAACAAACGAATTGAAACAAAAAAACATTTATGTCAGGAGTTGCTCTTGAATTTAATCATCACGTAGTGTAACACAGTTGTAAGAAGAAATTAAACAAATTGGTACTATGCATATAACACATTATCCCAGCATCTCCTTAACCAATTTATTAGGCACACCGAAATTATTTTCGTAGGTTAAGATAGTGTCATTGAATTGCCAGGGTTAAACTATAATGCACTTTTAGGAGAGACACCATGGACTTGCTGGTTATGATAGTTGTCATGTTTGTTAATTTGGTGAGATCATTCAACAGACATTTAAGCCATTTAATTAGCTTATTGTATACTGTACAAAAAAATCAGCCAGTTCAACTAATAATCATCACAATATATATCACACATTCCCATTAGTGTAGTAGAGATTAGATCAACTAAAATTCAGCCAGTTCAACTAAAAATCAGCCAGTTCAACTAATAATCATCACAATGCACTTTTAGAAGTGAACACTGATACAGTAATCCCAACAGGTTAAAGTATAACACACATGTATCAATGAAGTAGAAATTTCATAAATTACAAATGAAATTCAATAATCTTATGAATTGGATGTGAAATTACATACTTGGAATTGATCTCTGAGACCGAAGAGTTCAGATTTGAAGTGGGTTGCATGTACTTCATCACATCTTTCTTCGGATCCCAAGGTTTGTAGATCCCCGGAGAAGTCTCCATTGCGAGTATCTCATACCTCTGGCCGTCGTCTAGCATCAACTGCGTCTTCTTAGTCCCAGCAATGATTATGACGTCTTCCTCTTCATGGTAATAGATGATTTCAGCCTCCTTTGAATCGTCCACACCATCGTCGTCGCTTTCAATGAAAATTAATTCGTTCTCAGATACATGGCCGCCGCCAACAGATTCGGATGAGAGGGCCATGGGAATGGAGAGAATGAGGGGAAGGGAGATGAGTGGACGGGTTTTTTCTGGAGTCTGCAGCGAGATCGGATAAGAAGGGGAAGGGAGATGAGTGGCTCTAATTTGTTCAGTTCATGATAAAAGTCATTGATTTTATTAGGTGGTGGATGGAGGTAGATGAGTGGTTATCATGTCCAAATTGAATGTTGTTATTAAAGTAGGATAAAGTTATTTAATTTGTATCCCAAAGTTTTTGTACCTCATTTGTACACCGCAGATTTGCACTAACATTTTGAGTTGGTGTAAAAATATTTTTTTAAAACACCAACACTTGTGTCCGTGTAAATTTTTGTTAACGCACCAACATATGTGTCAATGTAAACTATCAAAATATTTTTGTATAACTAAGGTGTACAAATGTGGTACAATATTTGGTGTAAGTATAACGTAGTCCATTAAAGTATTATTATTACTCAATATAAAAGTAACCAAATTCAGGTACGTATACTGTTACATATACCGATAATTAACAATCTCAAACGTACATATAACGATAACCCGGTTTATGCCTGAGATGTTACCAAGATAACCAAACTCCATTTCTTTTACATGTACCGACAACCGGCCTAGCTAACTCAATCTTGACTCGTTCACGAATACTTAACAATATCAAACGTACTGTTACATATAACGATAACCCGGTTTCTGTCTGAGATGTGTTACCAAGATAACCAAACTCTTCAACTGTTACATGTACTGGCAACGTAACCGAAATCAATCTTGACTCCTTCAAGGATAATTACGAATATTAGACATACTGTTACATATACCGATAACTCGGTTTCAGTCTTGGATGTTACCATCCATAAGATAACCAAACTCTTCAACTTTTACATGTACCGATAACCTACCTAACTCAATCTTCACTCGTTCAGGGATAATTAATTACTAATATCAACCGCACTATATTATATATATATATATATATATATATATATATATATATATTGAAGAAGGAAAATTTTATTGGGGGACAAGCCCAAAACAAAAGTACAAAAGAAAGAAGAAAGAAAAGAAAATAAAAAGAAGATGATGCACTGTGCATCCTAAAAAAACAAGAGAAAACAAACAAAGAAACTAAAGGGCAAACAAGAGAAGCCAAAAACACCCAAAGCACTCCACTAACTGCTACCAAGCATTGCATAAGCACCTTTTACCGAACAGAAACAGCAGGAGAAGACCAAAATGGCTCACAAACCTAAAAGAGTAATAAGTAACCACTAGCACCTTGTATGACACCCAAGGCAACTCTTCACAAATCCGCTTCCATCCACCATCAAACTATATCTCCACTAAGCAGAAATCCAAGGACACTGTCTCAACACCACTGCTCAAGACCAAAAAATAGTAAACCGTGGTTCAAAAACCCCAAATATCATCAGAAGTTTGAGATATCTCAGAACGAATAGGGGATGGAGGGCGTCTACGCCTAGCAAGTCTGAGACTTCTTCTAGGAGCAGGGGGGCTAGTTCCTTTAACGCATCCCCTCTCAAAGATGATCCGACCTTGATCATTATTGCGAATTAAGGCAGTAGTAAGTCCCTTTGGTCCTCCCCTGCGCTGGAGATGGTCATCGGGCTCGATACCGTCATCCGGGTACCACATTCTTGTTGGCTCCGGGTCAGGGTCAAACTCCACATTATCTCTGAAGAAGGCTTGGAATCTTATAGAACGTGGAGCCACACTCTCTGTCAACCAGATTAAAGATGGAGTTAAAACCTTCAAGCCTGGATTCAGAAATTCTAATGAAATTGCCCCATCTGTTGGAGCCAAAGATGATGGAGAGTTTCCGGTTCTTGCTAAACCGAGTAAATTTCCATGGACTTTTTTTGAGTAAAGCGGGCAAAATCTCAATCAACCATTTCAGATCCTCATTACTAAACCAAATATTATGAATTCCACGCCCAATCTCAGTAATACAAAAATTCAGATTGTAATGAGAATGAAAGAAACGAAAGATCTTAGATTGAATGTGAAAAGAGTGGTAGCAATTGAGGCTGTTTGCAGGTTTCTCAAAATCCTTGGATGACCTGAAATTTTGATCCGGACATCGAATACCTGGAAATGACGTCCTCTTTCGCAACGATATTGATCGGCGGTAAGGATTGCCACCGAAGATATGAGAGTGCGATTCATCCTTCCAGTGGTGTGAATTCCAGCCTTGCCTATACCCAGAACATCTAGGGTTCTTACGAATCCAGCGGCTGCTCTCATGGCTAGCTTGAGACGAACGAAAATGGTACCTAGATGTATCGTGTTTATACCGGAATTGAGGTGGTCGACGAAGATCCCCAAATTCGCCGTTCTCCACCTTCTCTCTAAACCCCATTTCCATATATATATATATATATATATATATATATATATATATATATATATATATATATATATATATATATATATATATATATATATACACACACACACATACATACATTCATACATACATACATACATACATACATACATACATACATATATATATATATATATATATACATATATATATATATATATATGTATATATATACATATATATATATATGTGTGTGTGTGTATATATATCTATATATATATATATGTATATATATATATATATATATATATATATATATATATATAAGTTCTGGTGAGAATGCAATCTTAGGGTCAAGATTTGGTGCTTTAGATTGTGAGATCTAAGGGTCAAGATTTCATCAAAATTAGATGCACCAAAATGGTGCAAAAATGCATCACGTCAAAATGCACCATAAACCTTTGAAAATGCACTATCTCAAAATCTAAGCGCAGGATGCAATCTGAGCCACATGATGCATCAGATCCGACGGCTAGATTTTATTCTCATTTCTCTCCACAAGGTGCATTCTCACGGGAACCGGCCCCTATATATATATATATACATATAGATTTTGGTTCCGGTGAGAATGAGATCTTATGAAAGAAATAAGAATGATTCTGAGCTCTTGGATGGAGGCCTTTTGACCCGCATCACATAGGGCCATATGTGTATTTTCTTATTTTTCCGATTTAAGCTCCGCAAAATCAGCGCCGCAGGAAACCACATCTCTCTCCATTAAGGATTATTATTACAGTACATAATCCCCAAATCAAGATTTTCATCTCCTTTTAGATCTCATATCTATTATTTCACAGCTTCAATTCTTTAGTGGAATGTTCCTGATGGAAGTGACTGAGCAGGCGGCAGAGATAAAAATTGCATCATTCCACCGAAAACAAACAACCCTTTGTATCGGACGGCGGCGGATATCGAGAGACTTCTCTGTTTGCCTTCCACGCCTACATGACTACATGTCTAATTCTTTCATAAAACTTCTTTCTTCTTCTTTATTTGGTGTTACAATATTTATTTAATTAATAAAATAAATTTTTTTTGATAAGTTTGCCTTGTTCTGCGTATGCTCAACAAATTTCTTCCGTTGTCACTGTTTCTAGAGACTTTTTTTAGATGGATTTTTATTTGCTTTAAATGTATTGGTATTTTTTTTACTTCTTTCGTCCCGCAAAAAAGTTCCCATTTTCAATAGTATTTAGTCAAATATTTACACGTTTTAACTACAAATTGTGAGAAATGTATATTGAATTATAAAATAAATTTAATATAATTGGTTTCATCTTAGGATCTAGTTTTGATATCTCAAATTTTTTTAGCATTTCTTTATTTAGATTATATTTAATTTATGGTCAAAGCGTGTAACTATTTGATCAAAAATACATTCAAATGGGGACTTTTTTATGGGATGAAGGGAATATTAAATTTGCATATGCAATACATTGTGTTGTTTTTTCTTTTATATGTATCTTTATGTATGACAGAGACCACATTCTTATCCTTTTGTGAAGCATTTATGGGAGTAGATTATGTTAATTTTGTATTCTTGCTAGCTTATATTATGTTAATATGGGGCCGATTCAGGTGAGAATGCACCTTGGTGAAAGAATAAAATCTAACCTTTGGATTTGATGCATTGTTTGGCTTAGATTACATCCTGCACTCATATTTTGAGATAGTGCATTTTCAAAAGATTTTGGTGCATTTCGACATGATGTCATTATCAAACTATTTTGGTGCACCTAATTTTGATGCAATCTTGACCCTTAAATCTCACAATGTAAAGCACCGGATTCATTCTTATTATTTCTTTCATAAGATCGCATTCTTACCAAAATCAAAATCATCTTAATATGACCTGTCTTGGCAATGATTACTGTGAATACATACTTATCTTTTTTGACTATTAAGATCACTATACTCCCATGTTGCATTCTTTTCTTTTGATGTTGCTTATTATTGTTCATGTGTTGGAATAACAATTTTTTGATATTGTACAATATCATAATCACTGTACTGTAATGCATTTAATGAGAAGGTAATGCATTCTCATACTCTAAAGTAAAAGATAATGCATTCCTTTAATCAAAGATAATGCATTGATGATAAAATACTCATTGCACAAATATGATGCATCACTATATAGTGAATTTCCTACAAATGATAATGCATTAAAATTTTTTGTGACACATTTTGAATGTGTTAGAAAGACATTTGAGGATAAAGTTTTTAAGAGATTAAAATGTGTTTTAATACGTCCAAGTGAAAGGGGAGAGCCTCTTTGAAAAAACAAGTCATTGCCTATTAGCTCAAATGGTTGAGCGGTATGTACTACAGATGTGAGTTCAAGTCTCGTATAGGCAAATTATTTTTCAATATTGTATTATACTTGTTATAAATACAATGCATTTTAAGATGTTTCATCACATATAAAGTCACTTACGAGTCATCTTCTCCAATCTAATAAGAAATTAAATATTATTTTAATTAAATCTAGAGGACAAATGATAGTGCATATACCGATCATCACAATGCATGCACAATTTACAAAACGTATTGCATCTATATATGAGAATGATGCATAAAACAAAAAAACTATCACACGAGAAAAACTTCCTTGATTCCCTTTAAATAACTAAAATCATTGTCAAGTGCACAACAATTGTGTGACTAATCATTAAAAAATGTGAAAGAAAGTGATGAAAAATAAAAAATGGGGAATAATAGTATTTAAAAAAGGGGAAAAATTGTAAACCACATACGAATGGTTTTAAAAAATGAAAATAAACAAATATCTTGAACCACGAGAAATGCATTATCATTAAGCAAAAAGAAATAAAATGTTACAAAAAGAAATGCATTATTCATTAATGATTTATATAGAAGAAAAATGGTTTACAAATTAAAAAAAGAGAAAAAAAGCATTAATACTCTATATGACATTTTTTTGCGTAATAATGAGGTGCATGATTTAAAAAAGAAAGAATTAATACGATAACTCTTAATACTCCTATAATAACGGCACAATAAGTGGAACTTATGGCCCACGATCCTTTAGTGCCTATCAAATTTACACTAATGTCCCTATGCGCACGTTTCACTCCTAAATTGATGGTCATGAATTATTTTTTACCATACTAACTAGTCAATGGCGCCACTTTTTAGATCTAATGTGGACCCTTAGATTTGTAATATCAATGGTTATTATTTATTCTCATTTCTCTCCACAAGACTCATTCTTACGAGAACCAACCCATATATATATATATATATATATATATATATATATATATATATATATATATATATATCTATATGTTCGGGTGAGTATGAGATCTTAGGAAAAAAAAAAGAATGAATCTCTCGCGTTCGATGGAACAAGTAAGATAGGCATCTCATCACATTAAATAGGGGCAAATAAGTATTTACCCCTCATTTACTTTTCTCCCTGCGTTTATCTCCGGAAAATCATCGCATCTATTCCTAATTCTCCGCACACGATCTAATTCCATTTCCTTAATTCAAGATTTTAATTTCATTCTATCTATGGAGTTTCTAATTTGTGAACATACGTGGATTGTCTTCAATGAACAACGAATGAAAAGGTTAGACGACCTAATTTTTTATTCTCTCCATCTTCATTCTCGCATATTCATTTATGGTTTAATACGTGATGCTTTAATTTTTATATATGCATCCGTTTAGGTTTCTTTAAATTAAACTCTTTCATGTCATACCACCAAATAATTGCACACTACATGTTTGATAAAATGTCTCAAAGAGTTTTTGAGTGAAATCTTCTTATAGCGTTTTAATTTCGGGTGATTTCATTATATATAGTTGCTTTTAGCCTTCTGATTTCATTTTGTGGAATCTTCTACTTGCCTTTTAATATATGTAAAATCCAAATTTCTATATCATTATATATTTATTTTTATTTTTGCACAATATTGCATTTTATGTATATTACAGTGCATCCTGCAGATGCAGATACTAATTTTTTTTCACAGTATCACCTTGATCGTGTATAAGTACATTTTTGTGGTTTTTAAGGACTCGAAGGTAAATATCATGTTGTTTGCATACTTAAAAGTACTATGGTTTTAAAAACACATCATCACACCTTATATTTGTGTTGCTTTTTTTCTTGAGGGGCATAACAAGGACACTTTATTACACTGCTACGTAAATAATCACAGTATGCATTATATGAAATATTCAGTACATTATATAGAATTTGCAATGCATATTTTGTAACTTAACCTTGTGATTGCTCTTCTTTATTTGCTAAATGTTTATCCTATTTCTAGCTTCTTTAAAGAGATTGACTTTTTTGAGGTTGTAACTCTATAATGATGAAAGAAATGTTTTAATGATTTTTTGTGAGGGATGGACCATAAGTTTGATGGTTTCGTGCTAGAGGTGGTGTATAACTGTATACTTTGTTATTATTGGGCTGTATGAAACATGTAGAGTAGTAAAACCTGCTGCGTCGCTTTGGAAAATATGTTGCACGATTGAGGGGAGGGGGCAACACCGGTTGCCCACACTTTAGAGTAGATGAAGACCAGTGAAGGAATAATTTTGAGTTTGCCTTTTTTATTGCAAATTCATGTTTTGAAGTACATGACTTTTTGGGCCGAGTGACTTGAAATAGCACTATGTGGATTCATCCATGCAAATTGGAGTTAACATCCATGATTTTAATAGTTTTCCATATTGTTTGTAATGTTTGGATTATGGTTACATAGGTATGCAATCCATTGATGTGAGGGTTGTATGTAGCAAGTCAATAGTGTTTCTAGGTTGGATTAACATATGATCTAGTGCTTCATATTGTGATTGGAATGCATCATTTGAGTTCAATTTTTTTTATGACTTTGCTGCACATGGTCAGTAAACGGGTTAACAAATGTTCATGGCAGGGAGGGGGTGTTGGGTTTGCTTGTCTTCTTGTAGCTCACATCTAGTACTTCGGGGTATTATAATAAGTCATAATTATGTTATTTCTAGACCTGGCAATCAGGTCAATCGGTTCGAGTCCGGGTCGGGTCTTTTCGGTTTGGGTCTCTTTCGGATATATGTTATAATCGGTTCGGGTCGGTTCGGGTTGGGTCAGTTCAGTTCCGGGTTTATTTCGGTTTGCCTGGTTTTCGGTTTCGGTTCGGTTTTGGTTCAGGTTTATATCGGTTCGGGTCTGTATCGGTTCGGGTTTGTATTGGTTCGGGTTTGTATCGGTTCGGGTCTGTATCGGTTCGGGTTTGTATCGGTTCGGGTTTGTATCGGTTCGGGTTTGTATCGGTTCGGATTTGTATCAGTTCGGATTTGTATTGATTTGAGTTTATATCGGTTTAAATTTATATTAGTTCAAATATAATGTAAACACATACTAATAAATGAATAATATCACATAACAAATCTAGTTAATTTATGACATACTTCATAGTTATTTTACTCCGTATTATTGAAGACGGACGTACATAAAAAATAAACACTTATATAATTGACTAATTGTTTCTAAAGTTTTCCCTCTTAAAGTTTTCGGCGCAACCTTTGTAGTTAATATTTTACTTCGACTTCCTAAATTTCTNTAGATTGTTTTATTCATTTACATAATCATAAGTTTTTACCACATGATTGTGACACCTTTCTTCATTTTTATGCTCAAGTATTTTTTATAGTGTGTTAATTGGCATATTAAAAAAAAGAAAATCAACTTTGGTAACATAATTCTTTACATAAAATATGTATTACAATGTAACTATAATTTTTATATACTTTCTATAAAAATACAAATATATTTTAACTTAGGTTATAAAATACGGAGTACAAAATAAAAGATTTGTACATGAAAGTAGTTACATGGTTTGTACTCATAATTTAAATATGTTTTTTTAGAAACATATCAACATATGTAAAAATATATAGGTAATTCTTTTTTTCCAAATTCATTTGATAAATGAAATATTAATGAATTTGATCAATTTCGGGTCTAATCGGTTCCGGGTCTAATCGGTTCTAGGTTTAACCGGGTTCGGGTTTAACCGGATTCGGGTTTAATCGAGTTTGGGTTTAATCGGTTCGGGTTTAATTGGTTCGAGTTTAACCGGGTTCGAGTTTAACCGGGTTCGGGTTTAATCGAGTTCGGGTTTAATCGGTTCGGGTTTAATCGGATTCGGGTCTGAATCGGGTCTGAATACATTCGGTTCGGGTTCGGTTCGGTTCGGATCATTTCGGGTGTTCGGTTCTATTTCGGTTCTTCAGTTTTCGGGTCAAATCGGGTTCGGTTCCGAGTTATTCGGTTCGGGTTATCGGGTCCGGGTCAGTTTTGCCAGGTCTACTTATTTCTAAAGTATATATTTTATGACATGGATTTAAAGGGAGACCTTTTAAAAAGTTATTTTTACGCTGATATGACTGCAGGGGTGAGCTGAGTAGCATTGAAACCAACCATCATTGTGAGAGGTTAGAAGTATATAGTCTCTATTGCATCCACGACCTCATTGCATCGTAGCAGAAGATTGATGAATGTACATGCTGTATAGATAATGACCAAAAAGGATAGTTGAGCACACATTAATATTGAGGACGAGAGTCATGAGTATGAGTGAGAAACAAGAAGAATGCTGGATAGGAAAGTGATCCTGATGTAGACAATGGTCGGAACATCACGAAAGAGGGCGGCCATCAAAAAATGACAATAATGCAGCGTCAAGAGATGCAGATACTCACATTATAGCAATGAAAATATTTATTCTTAGTGGGTTCTTATCCCGCAACATTAGGGAAATATTTGGCACAATTAATTTATATGCAAATTTATTTTTATTGATTACTTTGTACATTTTTCATATTATATCGTTGTGCATATGTATCATGTAATAATGCATATATGTTTGTGAATATACTATTCACGAGGCAATTAATATATGGATAGTACCTTGTTCAATTTTTTGGTTTGTATATATATATATATATATATATATATATATATATATATATATATATATATATATATATATATATATATATATAATATCCTTGATCTCCGTTCTTTTAAAAATTTTTATGTGAAATTTGGTATAGAATATCAGAAACATATACACAACTAGATATGACAGAAATTTATTATTTTATCAAATAAATAACAAACCTTATTCAACAAAATCGTAGGAGTTTGAACAAAAGTAAATTGAACAAGGAGTTCATTTCTAAAACTAAAAACTTTACATTTTTTTACTACTTCATCCGTCCCGAAATATTTTTCCCATTTTTCTTTTTGGTCCGTCTGGAAATATTCTTCCCATTTCCTTTTTTAGTATACTTTTAAAGATAAAATTCAATAATACCTTTTATTTCGGAAAGTATGTGTATTTTTTTAAATCAACACGGGAAAAATATTTCCGGACGAAAGGAGTATTTTTTAAAAAACTTGTCAAATCTACTATGTACATGTGAAAAAAAAAAATAGAGAACATTCTTTTTAAAACTTTTAAAATTTTTGCCAAAATATTGGCCAAATTCTACTACTCTGTACGTGGCAAAATTTTGGCAAAGAAGGGGCGAAAACTTTTAAAAATTTCGCCAAAACCTACCATTTCCCAAGCATACTCCCTCTAAAATTTTGGCCAAAATATTTCAAAAATTTCATCCACCCTCCAAAATTAAGCTGGAAGCTCACCACGTATCTTTTGTTCCTGTTCCTCCCAAAAACCGAGAAGGCCTCCAAAAAATAACTTCACCTAATTCAATCAATTCATCCATTCTACTCTGAACTTCAATCCCTACCTCCAGTCGCCTCCTCATCACTCAACCTTCTTCTCTGATTCACTTCACTACCTCCTGTCGCCTCCTAACTCAACCTTCTTCTCCGATTCACTTCCCTCTGCTATACTGGAGCCATAACCTACCGTTTTTACCGACATAGGAGCTGAAAACCCTAAAATAAGGTAAGTCATAAAAAACCTCAAATCTGGTATTCCCTCCAACAATAGTCACCATATTTGTTTTCCCAATTTTGTCGAATTCTTCTTGGCCTCTTCTTTGCATGCGTCTACCTCGCTGCTCAGATCCCCCCAAAGAGGTCAGGGTTACATTTCTCAATCCATAGAAGTCACAATTCATTGGTTTGTTGTTATTCTTTTTAATTTACTATCTGTAAAGGCTTGCTTCTAGAAAGGGTTGAACTAGAAAGGGTTCAACCAATTCCTTATTTCGTTGAATGTGACACAGAGAGCAGCAGTAATGAACAATTTTTTTTCTAGAGTCAACTCAATACTCCTTCCATCCTTTTTTAAATATATTTAAAAAAATATTAATCTTAATACGTTTTTTATCTCAGTATTTTGGTACAGACCTTTGTTGTTTGTGTAATGCTTGACATCAAATTTATTTTACTGTTTTAGTGTCCCTTATCACAAACTGTACTCCTAAAAATTCACCTAAAAAAATGAATGTGATAACCCACCTACAAATTGAGGCAGATCCCAATTTTTCATTATGCGCAGCATTCATTCGATATATAGCTTATTTTATACTGAAATGTTTGATCTTCACTCACTTTCAGAATATGGCCAGCACTCAACAGAATGCGCAGGCTGGACGTGCAATCCAAAAACCAATTCTCCAATCCTCTCCCAGGCACAAGAAACCTGAAGGTCTTTCAGACCATAATGAAATGCAATGTCATAGTGCCCCAAAACCCGAGCTCCAAAAATCTCCCAGGCTTAAAAGAAAAGATTGGCCAAGCACTTTGACAGTGGTGCAGGCATTGAGTGGCTCAAGGTCAAAGAACATGCAAAGCCATTCTACTCCCTTGCCCGTCACCCCAAAGCCAAAGCCTATATCTGACAATGTACAAAAACTGATCAAGCAGAAGAGAAAGCGAGAAGAAGTAGAAAGTGAAAGTGTCGCCAAGCCTTCTGGGGGTGGGTTGAAACTCCGAAAACGTGGATGAGTTTCAATGCACCGCGTTGTGAAACGTAAGATAAATGGATAGAAACCAACGGTTTTGTTTAATGATAAGGGACAACCGTATGGTGTGGCTGCTGCAGAGATGCAATCTTATTTTGGAGTTTTGGCCAGGACAAAAGCTCCAATATGGTTTGACACTTGGAGGCAAGTTCCGGTAACCATCAAGAACAAGATTTGGAAATCTGTCACGGTAAATATAACCATACTAACACTTGACTTGTCCTTACAAAATAAATAACTTGATCATTAGTTATATACCTGTGTTTTCCAACTAACTTAGACTAGTAAATTCCTCCCATGTTTATGCATATAGTTGGGGTTCGACCTACCCCCTTCTGCACAAAAACTTGTGCTGCAGTCGGTGAATTCGATGTGGAAACAATTCAAGAGTACCCTGACATGTAAATATATTCTTCCCTTTCGAGATGAACCTGAGAGGCTGAGGACTCCACTAGAGGACTTCTCTTTCTTGGAGAAGAATCATTGGGATATTTTTGTTGCTGATCGTCTAAGCCCCGAGTTCTTGGTAAGACTATGTTTCCATTGTACTTTATTTAAAATACTACCTTTTTGATGAATTGTCCTTTTTTGCAGAAAATCCATGATGAGCATGTGAAGAGAGTTAAGGAAAACAAATATGACAATGATTCTTCTACATGTACATTTTGACTATGACACATTACTCACTAAATGAACATGCAGGCAAAAACACACAGTGGAGATGAGTCCGTCATTGATCGATCTGTTACGTGGGTCCTTGCAAGGAAGGACAAAGAAGGAAATTTGAAGAGTGACTCTACAAAACAGAAGGCGGAGGAAATTGTTAGTTTTTAAATAATTTCTGAAAATTAGTAAGTTCTTGCACATAATGTTGCTGTATGTCTCTAATCCCAGCAGCCCTGTTGATATTCCTTTGATGCTTTAGTGTAATGTTAAAATTTTGAGTTCTATACCACTTCTGTTTTATTGATAGAATTCCGGTTCCTTTTCAGGAGTTCTTAAGGGAACAAGTATGTTCTGGTGTGCTTACTGAAGAAGGTGATGATGATGTATTGGCCAAGGCTCTTGGGAAGCTGACACAGTGGAAGAGTGCGAGGTCAAGGAATGCATGTGAGGAAGGCTGTGTATTTCAATCTCCCGCGGTCAAAGAAGCAGAAGACACAAACAACGGTTGATGAGCAAGTGAAGGAGGGTGTGAGAAAACTTTTGGCAGAGGAGGTGAATAACATCGTTGCTTCAAGAGATGCTTTTTGGATGGCTGAGATAGAGAAGTTGAAATCAGAGATTTGGAAGAAACAAGGAAGTAGTCCCGCTGTCCCTTTCCAAGAGGCTAGCTGCTCACCTAAATTCAGGGAAGGTGGGCAGAATCAACAAGTGGCAAGGAAGAATCTAAAGGACTCATTTGATGCAGAACTTGAACCACTCAGAGAGAATAATGACATTGGTGATGAGTGTAATCATATACTGTCCATGGCTGAGCATGTTGATGAGAAACAACATGAAAAAGAAAGAGAAAAGAATGAGAGAGACGATCAAGAAATTGATACTATGGAGAAGCTTGTGGAAGTTGGAGGACTCAAAGTAGAGAAGAAAGCAAAAAAAGACGTCTTCGTTGATGTTGATTCCAGGGAGAGCCAAATGGCATAGCTTGTTGTTGGTTCTGTGGACAATATTGTTTCACATGCAAAGGTGTATGGATCTCCCGGATGGATGACCTCACCTTACATGGTGAAAGACTGGGTGAAGAATATGCAAAGGTGTCCATTAGAGAAGCAATAAAAGGTTTGCATGAGCAAGTTATTAATATTTTGAATGTATTAGCTAAGGATGAAATGCACACATTTTAGAAGTACTCATGTTTTTAATCTTTGATATTTGCCAGATGTTGACATTCCAGTCCCAATCCCCGGTGAAGTACTTACTGTTGAACAAGCCAAAGGAACTTTTGTAGCATGGCCTAAGGAGCTGATAGTCTTGGATGTGCTTCCTAAAGGAAAGGTTATTATATCTCTACTATTATGTCTACTTGATTAATTTAGATAATATATTTACCCACGTGCACATTTTTAATAGAGCAATTTAAAAACTGTCAAAAAGAAAAAGGCCCCTAAAAGATTGAAAAAGGCACATGTTCAAGACGATGAGGAATGTGGCCAAGAGTTCCAAGTAGAATTTGGTGCTGAGTATCAACTGCAGTTGAAAGGGCTATGGTTGTGGGCTAAGGAAGCATTGTCTGATGATAGAGCACATACTTTTGTCCTTAATAAAGATGCCTTTGGGGTGGAAAAGAAGTTATCAGTTTTTCTCAGTGATATACATGCTCTGTGCGCTCGTGGCGAGATGGCTGGAAGCATAATTACAATATACCTCCGGTAAGAATGTCATCACACAAACATTTTTTTCATTGTTAAAAGCCTTTTGATATAAAATTCTTATGGACAAGTGACATAACTATCATGCAATTACCCTTGCAGCTGCCTGTATGAGCTTTTGAAAAAAACAAAATGCTTCAGATGATCTCTTTCGTGGATCTCGGCATGGTAGGGACGCTTGCATGTGGGAACATAGGGCAGAGGTCACGCAAGCTTGCTGATCGCTTTAAGGGGGCCTGTGTTCGACAACACTTTCTAATACCGTTCAATGACGTGTAAGTATGTTTAAGTTGTTCATGTCAAGAACTGATGTTTTGAATTGTTTCTTCCTTGTGAACTTAGTCTTCAATTTGCATTTGTAATGCTTTGTTAATACACTTATGTAAATGCGAATTTCTTTAAGTTCGTGAGAATGTCGTAATTCATATATGTTTTTATTTGTAGGAATCATTGGGCTTTGACTGTTGTCAAACCTAATGAAGAGGTAGTGTACTACATGGACCCCCTTAAACGGCGTATAGATAGTCAGGAGTGGACTAAAGTGGTTGATAAGTAAGTAGTGACTCAATGAACAAAAATCTTTGGTATTTGCTATCACTCTTGATTTTAACATTTCTCTATTTATCTTTTTTGGTTTCCTTATAGTGCTATAGTTTTGTACAAGAGTACCATGAACACACCTATGTTGAAGAAGAAAGTGTCCTGGGAGAACATGGCGGTATTATATGATTCTTATTATTTGGTATGTAATGCAGGTTGAATGAGAAGTGTTGTATAACGTACTTTATATTTTTGTTTTTTAGGGCATCCCGATGCAAAAAGGGAGTGTAGACTGTGGCTTGTTTGTAATGCGATACATGACAGAGATCTGTCACGATAAGGAGGTTCAATTTGCTTCAAAGGTAATATTGTTGTCTTAAATGTAGTTTTTCTTGTTTCAGATGGTTCACACTAATTGTGCCTTTCTCTTATTCTGGGGATATATACTGTATTGTATGTTATCATACCATTACTGAATTGCAAAGTTTGAATTGCATGTCGCTTTTATGTGTTCTCTATTAAGTGCTTCTTTGTATCCGTGTATCATTTAGGAGTGTGTTTTTTAGTTTGAATTTCTGGATAAATAATGCAAGTTCTGCTACATGCTCTTTACACAGATTTAATTTGAAGCTAATTTAAGATAGCGCTGTACAAAGTTTTTTTTATTTTGTATACAGTTCTGGTGTTTTTAATCAGGAGAGACTTTAACATTAAGTAGAGCCTCTTCTAGTTCACTAATAATGTGTACTACTCAATGCAAGTGAAGGTTTGAGTATTAATTATTGGTCAGTTCTTTAGTGCTAGTCATCACGGATAATGCCTTCATACAAATCAGTTCTTATGTGTTGCATCCTATATTTACTTCATCATTTCTATGATTGGCTTATTAGATATTTGGTTTTTTCCTACGATTTTCAGTGGGCGCATCGGGGAAATCTGGAATACACCGAGGATGACATCAATCAAACAAAGGTTGAATTTGCGAAGTATTTTATGAGTCATAATGCCATTTGAATGGTTCTACCCCTGGACTTTGGTTGTATGTTTTATTGTGTTAGATTGTTGAATCATGTATTGGGAATTTATATTTCATTTCTTGATCAGTCTTTCTTGATCCGTCTTTCTGTTGTATGAATTATTGAACGACCACTGTATTAGAATGCAAAAAACATGGTTATCCACCAAATACAGTACTTCGAATGGTTGAGGCACAACACCAAATGTCAATAGTTTGAATATCTGCAACACAATGCCATAAAACAGAAGCATCTGATTATGATAGGCAACACAAATAAACGTTTGACTGACAAGCAGCCTTACTACTGTTAATTTGATATTACAACAATTTTACGGACAACTATATAAACTAGTAGAGGTAATACCTGCTAGACATCTGGTACTTGCAATTGTGTGAAATGAAACATAATCATATTCTTAGTTTTAGATATACCACAAAAAAGAACAGTTCTCTAATGCTAATGTTTTCAGTGGTGTTACAAGCAGCTGTCTGATAACAATTTCGACTCCTGTCCCAAAATATTGTTTGAATGGGTGGTACGACAACGATCCAAAACAGTATTGTTTATAGATGTCGTACAACTAAAACAAATAGTTGTTTAAGATAAGACCAAAATAATAGTCTGAACATTATGCATACAACCCAACGTAATAGTTGTTTGAAGCAAATACTTATAGTGGTGTTCCGAGCAGCTGTCTGGTAGCAGATTCAACTACTATTTGGAAGTATAGTGTCAATGTTTAAAGGACAACGAACATAAACTAGAGTGTTAATAGACGGCATACAACCAAAAAAAAGTTGTTTAAGGTAAGACCAAAGAAATAGTCTCAACGTTGTACATACAATAGAAGGTAGCAGAGGTTTGATGGAATTACTTATAGTAGTCTTCCAAGCAGCTGTCTAATAGAACATTAGACTACACCTAGAAAACATAGTGTAACCACATCAATCCCAACTACAATAAACCATTGTCGTAATAGTCTATATACAATTAATTAAGACAGTTGTTTTTAAGTAGTCGTCTGAACTTCTATATACAACACAATAAAACTGTTGTCTGAGTATATCCAAAATCGTAGACTCAATCACGAGCAGACAACAAATGTTCAAAGTTGTGTTAAGCTACAAAACACCGGTGTCAGATTTTGATTTGCACAATTGTTCTAAACCCAGGTCTAGCATCCCATCAGACAGCTGCTCGGAAGACTACTAAAAACATCAATTATAGACTAGTAAAATAAACAGTTGTCAGCCTCTTTTTTTGACGTAGTGTGCATTACATACCAAATAATAAGAATCATATAATACCGCCATGTTCTCCCAGGACACTTTCTTCTTCAACATAGGTGTGTTCATGGTACTCTTGTACAAAACTATAGCACTATAAGGAAACCAAAAAAGACAAATAGAGAAATGTTAAAATCAAGAGTGATAGCAAATACCAAAGATTTTTGTTCATTGAGTCACTACTTACTTATCAACCACTTTAGTCCACTCCTGACTATCTATGCGCCGTTTAAGGGGGTCCATGTAGTACACTACCTCTTCATTAGGTTTGACAACAGTCAAAGCCCAATGATTCCTACAAATAAAAACATATATGAATTACGACATTCTCACGAACTTAAAGAAATTCGCATTTGTATAAGTGTATTAACAAAGTATTACAAATGCAAATTGAAGACTAAGTTCACAAGGAAGAAACAATTCAGAACATCAGTTCTTGACATGAACAACTTAAACATACCTACACGTCATCGAACGGTATTATAAAGTGTTGTCTATCACAGGCCCCCTTAAAGCGATCAGCAAGCTTGCGTGACCTCGGCCCTATGTTCCCACATGCAAGCGTCCCTACCATGCCGGGATCTACGAAAGAGATCATCTAAAGCATTTTGTTTTTTCACAAGCTCATACAGGCAGCTGCAAGGGTAATTACATGATAGTTATGTCACTTGTCCATAAGAATTTTATATCAAAAGGCTTTTAACAATGAAAATAAAATGTTTGTGTGATGACATTCTTACTGGATGTATATTGTAATTATGCTTCCAGCCATCTCGCCACGAGCGCACAGAGCATGTATATCACTTAGAAAAATTGATAACTTCTTTTCCACCCCAAAGGCATCTTTATTAAGGACAAAAGGATGTGCTCTATCATCAGACAATGCTTCCTTAGCCCACAACCATAGCCGTTTCAACTGCAGTGGATACTTAGAACCAAATTCTACTTGGAACTCTTGGCCACATTCCTCATCGTCTTGAACATTTGCCTTTTTCAATCGTTTAAGGGCCTTTTTCTTTTTGACAGTTTTTAAATTGCTCTATAAAAATGTGCACGTGGGTAAATATATTATCTAAAAGAATCAAGTAGACATAATAGTAGAGATATAATAACCTTTCCTTTAGGAAGCACATCCAAGACTATCAGCTCCTTACGCCATGCTACAAAAGTTCCTTAGGCTTGTTCAACAGTAAGTACTTCACCGGGGATTGGGACTGGAATGTCAACATCTGGCAAATATCAAAGATTAAAAACATGAGTACTTCTAAAATGTGTGCATTTCATCCTTAGCTAATACATTCAAAATATTAATAACTTGCTCATGCAAACCTTTTATTGCTTCTGTAATGGACACCTTTGCATATTCTTCATCCAGTTTTTCACCATGTAGGGTGAGGTCCTCCATCCGGGAGAATCCATACACCTTTGCATGTGCAACAATATTGTCCACAGAACCAACAGCAAGCTGTGCCATTTGGCTCTCCCCGGAATCAACATCAACGAAGACATCTTTTTTTGCTTTCTTCTCTACTTTAAGTCCTCCAACTTCCACAAGCTTCTCCACAATATCAATTTCTTGATCGTCTCTCTCATTCTTTTCTCTTTCTTTTTCATGTTGTTTCTCATCAACATGCTCAGCCACGGACAGTATATGATTACACTCATCACCAATATAAAATGTTGTACTGTCAAGGTTTAGTTTGTTGGTTTTCATGATGTGCAGTTCACGTCGATATGCTAGCAGTGCTTGTCCTCCTGTATATTGATGTTGCTGTGTCTTAAGTTGTGTCTTCCTGATGGATACGTTGGGCCATTGTTTTTTTGCTTTTTGGGTATAACAATAATGCTGTTCACTTGGTGGCTTTTCCCAAGGTTTGTACTGTCAAGTTTTGTTGGTGTGTTTTTCTATTTTGGTTTCTACTCTAAGGTGTGTATGATTACTTTTAGAATGGATGATTAAAGGATGAACCTGCCATCTTCTAATTGTTTTTTTGTTTTATGATGTGAGATTGATGGATTGTATGGGTTCCCAATTCCCTTTGTGTGTAGCGGGACAGTACCCAGCCTGTCCATGTACAAATTATTTTGTTTGAATGGAAGTGTTTATTTTTTCATGTCCATATAAATCTTTAAAACAACAGTTGTTTGATTGTTTGGGCAGTAGTTTTTGAGTGA